CAAATTATTCTAATACCCAAGATCCTTTGCAAGCAGGTCTGCTACTATATTATTTTTGACTTACAGTTTGGAAGATGTTCAATGAATTGAGTGACTTTCCTATAACGATATTCCTTTTATTCCAAGCAAACCATTTACTTGAATAATGTGTTTCAATACATACCATATACACACAAAAAGAAGTAGGACTCTGTCCATAAGTAATATTCACCCAAAGATTTATCCACCTATTAGGGGGAAAATCCTATGGTTTCATTAAGGAAAGAATTTGTAACAAAACTTTACTCTTAAGTTTTAATTATCAAAAAATTTAGTTTCATAGTTTTGATCCATTTAATATCAATAATAATTGTAATGATAACTCAATCTGAAGGAATATCTTAGCACTTGGAGCCTTACAATCATGGAAATTAAACAGAAAATTAATTTAATTATACACATGTGTTTGCAGAAATGATAGGGTGGTTATTAAATTTTTCAAAGCATAAATTTGTATTATATTAGCATAAATTTCTGTAGGGGAACTATAATGGAAATACAAGTTCAGGAAAAAGGAAAACAACCGTTAAAGAAGAACTTGCTTATGTCTTTTTAAATGGATAATAATGGATTGCAAATTGAAGAGAAATTTAGTTCACTGAAAGTGTTTATAAGAGCAATGTAATGTTGTCTTAACTGTCAATATTTACAATGTGGCACCAAATGTATCCTTTGCAACTATTTATTTATTCATTTATTTAGAGACCTAGTCTCGCTCTGTCACCCAGGCTGGAGTTCAGCAGCATGATCTTGGCTCACTGCAACCTCTGCTTCCTGGGTTCAGGCGATTCTCCTGCCTCAGTCTCCCGAGTACCTGGCACTACAGGTGTGCACCACCACACCTGGCTAATTTTTGTATTTTTAATAGAGACAGGGTTTCACCAGTCATGTTGGCTAGGTTGGTGTCAAACTCCCAACCTCAAGTGATCCACCCACCTCAGCCTCCCAAAGTGCTGGGATTACTGGCATCTATTTAAACTTACGATAAAAATTTTAGACAACAACATAAACTTTGTTGAGGAGTGTATACAGAGTTTCAAATTTATTTTAGGGAGGACATAAACAAAAAATATGAAGATGATTATACTGGATCTCTGCCCCTAATTCTAATTTTGGTTACTTCCTGAAGAGACAGATTCTCAATGTTTTCTGTGCAATTACAAAGTTCAGAGTCATTGAAGGCTTCAGGATGATTGTGACCATGTGAGCATGTGTGAGAGATGTGAAAATGTGCTGCGTTTGAGAAGAAAATTCCTGTTAAAATGTGGAAGGCAGAACAGAGGAACAAGAAATTGAATGCTGTTATAATTTACCAGGACTAGAAAAAATATTTATGAGATTGTGGAATGAATATTGACAAATACATAAAGTGAGTCCAGAAAAATAAAAATAGATGCTTTGTTTGGGGGGATGGTATTATCAATAAATTTTCTTTCATTTTTTAAGTGATTTTTATGCATATATTATCTGAATTTTTTCCTTAAAAATGCATGTTAGATTCACATGTAGAAAAAAGAAATGTCCCTGTAAACAATAAAAAATAGACAACTTATACATAAGTTATTGGCAACATTTTTCAGGAATGAAACCACAGTGTAAAGAGCTAGTACTTCCAATGGACTAGAAGTCCAGTTTCTCAAACAGAGGACATAAGCATACTGATAGGTCATAATGGTTTAATCTAGCAATGGAAATTGTTTTTAATTAAAAAAATAAACCGCTAAAAAGACTTAAAGGGGCAAAAGGATGACAAAGACCAAACAACACATAATGTTCACTTTAGGGCAGTAGGAAAGAAGAGGGGACAGTGAGACTTGATGCATTCCTGAGGGCTCTTATCTTGGTATTACCATTCAGATGTTGTCCATGGTTAGCAGCAGCAACAGTGTGTCACCCATGGGCAGCATGCAAGAACGCTAGTCACGCAATATCTATCAATATCTATGTGTTTACTGTCTGTCTCCCACAGGGACTATAAGCTCCATGAGGGCAGGGATTTCTCCTGCTGTGTTCACTGTTCACTGCTTTATTTCTAGTGCTTCCCAACAGTGCCTAACCACAGTAAGGGATAAATAAATATGTGTTGAATCACTGGTTGGATGAGTGTTTGAATGAATGAATGAGTGATCTGAGTACTTAGTTTCAGATTAATGAAAGTCAGGGGAGGAACTTCAAGAGTGTTATAACTGCTCGTGTCAGATGACATGAGACGGATTTCAGGAATTTGAAGGAAGGTGACTGGATCTAAGATTTAGGAGATCATTTTGGAGAATTTTAAATTAATATTTGAGGTCTATTGCTTTACAAATCAGTTTGCAAGTTATGCAGAGAAATAGCACAGAGACTAAGGAAGGAACTAAGATTCAAGGAAGGTGTTTTGTTTATTTTTATTTTTTTCCCAGAAAATGGAAAACAAGAGAAGGAAAATTTCTCATGCCAACATAAAGAATAAATAAGTCCAATTACTGACATAAACACAAACAGTAATAGTTCTTTATACAGTACTTTGCAGTTCTTGAAAAACTTTAATATATTTAATCTCCTTTAAAACTTGAAACTACTCCTTAAAATGCCCCTTGAGATCCATTTCATCTCTGGAAATGGAAATGAGAAAGGCCAAATACCTTGTCCAAAGTCATGCAACTTGTAACTGGTGGTGCCTAGAATAAAACTCGGTGGTTTGACCCATTTCAATGTCAGCACCAGTGAAGGCAAAAATGACTCCACTTTGAATGCTAATCTGCCATGTTGACTTCTGATTAGCCTCATGACTGCCTCCTGGTTTTTACTTTATTAACGTTTACTTCAACTGACATAAGAACAAAGCAACCTTGATGCTGTCATACAAAGTACAGGCTATGACACATACCACATTCTTGCCTGTTCTGGAAGGTTGCCTTTAATTGTCTTGCTGAAGAGCACATCTGCTTTCCTGGAGCTGTATAAGCCTTGGGTCTGAGGAGCAGCAGTGTGGGGATCTGCCTGTCTTGCTGCTATCCAAGGCCACGGTTCTGTCTTTAAGTTCCCTCAATACATCACCCAATATCGACAAACTGAATCTGTCTGCCTCCTTCTTTGGTTCCTCAGTTCCTTCAGGATTTGGGGGTCACTTTGCATACATGGCCCTTCCACGGAAAAGCATCATTTGAATATACTCAAAAAAACATACATTTTTGTTTTTGAGGAGTATGTGCGTGACATGGAATAGTTTAATGGGGATTCTGGCTTAACATGCCAGCTTTGCCTATATAAAAATCTCAAAACACTGAAATTTGTTCCTATCTGTCATGTTCATTTACTGTAGCTATTAACTAGAGCCCATAAACAAGTGGGTGGTTAGTATCATTTTTACCCTTAGGAAAGAAAGAGTTTCAATATCTTTTGCATTTCTAAATCAAAGTACTCAGCATAATAAGTCTTTTTTTAAAGCAGAGAGTATTAAAGATTATTGAAAAAATAACTGATCTAATTTAGACACTTATCAGAAATAAATCATGCCCTCAGAAAATGATATATCTTGAGAAAATATGCAGTTCTCCTTGAGAAAATGGCATCAGAAGAGGCAGAAGGAGATAAGCCAGATGGAACGGGATGGGAATAAAATAATAAACATGTTTAATATTCTAGGGCTCATTTTTGTAGGGGCATATTTTGGGCAACGCTTTAGAATACAGTCTCACTGCAAAAAGTACAGAATCAAGGCATGAGAAAATTGAGCCCTAGCAACTAAAGTGGCTTGTTGATGTCATGTGACTGATCAGTAGTTGTGCAACTAAAGAAACAGCTCATGTCTTCTGACATGTTTTTTCTTCACACAATGTCACTACATGCAAGTTTCCAAACTTGGAAAGAGCCAGCATATAGGGACCCTGTGTTGTACCTTTTAAAGAAGAGAGAGGCTAAAAGACTTGAATAAGTACTCAGCCTGGACAATGAGTCTAGAATTCAAGAAATATCTGGATTTCAAAGAGGCTACTTTTTTATGCAGACTATTGCAGAACTCTCTACAGGGATTATCAATGGAGGCCTGGAAAACTATGATATCAATTGACAAAATAAAATCCAAACAAACTGGGATGTAGTTCTACAAATTGGCTTTCTAAAACTGAGGGGAAGAATATATTATGTATATAGATTAATCTTAAGAAAAATAAATTTCATGTTGTTGAAATTCCAATGTCATTTCCCGTACCTCCTTAAATCCCAATTTATTCTTTCTTTCTAATTGGACTCAAGGAGTTATTAGTCCATGTGGACCTGATGTCTATTCAGATTGTTTTGGGGGGTGGGGGATGGTGTCTCTCTCTGTTGCCCAGGCTGGAGTGCAGTGGTGCAATCTTGGCTCACTGCAACCTCCCCCTCCCCCTCCCCCTGGGGTTTAAGCAATTATCCTGCCTCAGCCTCCCAAGTAGCTGGGATTTCAGGTACCCACCACCACGCCCAGCTAATTTTTGTATTTTTACGAGAGAGAGTGTTTCATCATGTTGGCCAGGATGGTCTAAAACTCCTGACTTCAAGCGATCTGCCTGCCTTGGCCTCCCAAAATGCTGGGATTACAGGTACGAGCCACTGTGCCTGCCTGTCTATTCAGATTTAAAGAGCTACAGGTCATCATGCAATGCATTGTAACAAATCTTAAGTCTGATTTTAACCTTCCTAGCATTTTACATTGTGACATAGTAAGAAGTCAAACTGTACATACAGAGTTTTCATTGAAAACTTAACATTGGATTTTCTTTATTGATAAATCTGGTAAAAGGAAACAGTAAATAATTTTGAAAAAAGCATTAAAAACCAGTCATTTCATTATGAGGTTTGTGTTCTTTAATCTTAAAAGAATTAATTAAGTCCAATTAAAACATCTACATTCTCCAATATGCTCCAAGTGCTGTTTGTCAATTTGCCAATCCAGCCCTTGAATTTTCAGACATGAAAATGGGATGGAGGGGCACAGCGGGAAGATGGCGTTGGAGGTCGGCGACATGGAAGATGGGCACCTTTCACACTCGGATTCCGACATGACGGTAGCACCCAGCGACAGGCCGCTGCAATTGGCGAAAGTGCTAGGTGGCCACAGTGCTATGAGGGCCTTCCAGAACACAGCAACTCCATGTATCACATTATCGAGCTGTTGAAAGTGTGGATTCAAGTGAAGAGAGTTTTTCTGATTCAGATGATGATAGCTGTCTTTGGAAACGCAAACGACAGAAATGTTTTAACCCTCCTCCCAAACCAGAGCCTTTTCCGTTTGGCCAGAGCAGTCAGAAACCACCTGTTGCTGGAGGAAAGAAGATTAACAACATACGGGGTGCTGTGCTGCAGGAACAGAATCAAGACGCAGTGGCCACTGAACTTGGTATCTTGGGAATGGAGGGCACTATTGACAGAAGCAGACAATCCGAGACCTGCGATTATTTGCTTGCTAAGAAACTTAGGAGGGAATCTCAAAAACATATAAAAGGTCTAGACAAGGAACTAGATGAATATATGCACGGTGGCAAAAAAAAATGGGATCAAAGGAAGAGGAAAACGGGCAAAGTCATCTCAAAAGGAAATGACTTGTCAAAGACAGGCTGGGGAACAGACCAGAAATGAACTATAAAGGTCGATATGAGATCACAGAGGAAGATTCTCAAGAGAAAGTGGCTGATGAAATTTCATTCAGGTTACAGGAACCAAAGAAAGACCTGATAGCTCGAGTAGTGAGGATTACTGGGAACAAAAAGGCAATTGAACTTCTGATGGAAAACTGCTGAAGATGAACAAAATGGTGGTCTCTTTATAATGAATGGTAGTCGAAGAAGAACACCAGGGGGAGTTTTTCTGAATCTCTTGAAAAACATTCCTAGTATCAGCGAGGAACAAATTAAGGACATTTTCTACATTGAAAGCCAAAAGGAATATGAAAATTAAAAAGCTGCTAGGAAAAGGAGAACACAAGTGTTGGGAAAAAAGATCAAACAAGCTATTAAAAGTCTAAATTTTCAAGAAGATGATGACACATCACAGGAAACTTTTGCAAGTGACACAAATGAGGCCTTGGCCTCTCTTGATGAGTCACAGGAAGGACATGGAGAAGCCAAGTTGGATTCAGAGGAAGCCATTGAAGTTGATCATTCTCAAGATTTGGACACTTTTTAAGTACATTTTTGACAGTTTGAGGACTAAGCTTTTCTAAAATAACATTGTAATAAACCATTTTTACTGAGATTGCACCGTTTTGCACTGGTAAACATGAATCTGGAGGAAAGAAAATTGTTTTCTTGTTTAAAATAGTGTATGTGCAGAAAGGAATGCAATTGATAGAACATTTAAGGATGTCTCATGTCTGGCAATACTTAAGAGTATATAGCACAGGATTTAATTTCTCATTGTGTTGCATGTGCTAATTATGAGTATTACTAGTTGATAATCAGTTTTGTCTAGGTCATAACATACTATTTGAAAGTTTGTTTGCTTTTTCAAGTTTATCTTTGCAGTGAATTATGCCTTGGCTTTAAAACATTCCATTAAAATCGTAATGGGACATATAAATTATTAAGCTGTTACAAATGCAAACAAACACACACACACACAAAAACCAAAACGGGATGGAGGGCCTGTACTGGAGTGGTGACTGGTTGGTCACATCACAGCATTCAGACATTGTTAAGTATCATCCAGTAAGCTGGTCCTTGATACTGTCTGTCTAGTATACCATGTGATTATATCTTTAATTTCCTGCAATGGATCAAGATGCAAATAAAAGAATAATGTGCAGACAACTTACTTTTTGCTTTCCCTACATGAATATGTGCCAAATTAATTTGTGGTATAGATAAAAATTTCCTCTCCAAAGCAGCATTCACAATAGACCAGGGTTCAATCTAACAACAAAATGATGCTAAGGAAAATCGAGATTACTCTATGGAAGTATTGGAATGAGTAAAGCAATTTTGCCAATGAAATGCTAAGTTATATGTATGAAGGTGATCCTAAGCAATACTTTATTTTATTCTACTAAGAAACTAGTTCATTAATTTCTCTGTATCTTTGATTATGTACTATTAGCAGTAAAATATGGTTTTTGAATGACACATCTACCAAGGGAAATCAATTGGTTCTCAGAGCAGGGCAGAGCTCAGATATGCAGATTTAACCTTCTTTTCAATTTCAAAAGTGAGACTGCCAGAGAAAGGCATGCAGTGAGCCTCTTGAAGTCTCTGAATTTGGAGTCACATTGAGGGGCAATTATAATTACCAAAATGTCTATGGTCATTAGAACTGATTGAACTTTTACTCCACACTCTACTTATCCAATCAACAGTAAAGTGGACTGTGTATCTTGCCTCCATTCTGTTTGTAATATCATAGAATCTTTTCTTGAGTGTCAAGAAAGTTTAAATAGTAGGCTGTATGATGGTAGATCAAAATGCCTAACAAGCATAAGGTAATCAAACTCCTATTTATTGACTTAACAAAAAAGGTCTTGTTTTTCACTTGTGTGTCTTTTAAGGAGATAAATTAAAATGATATTTTAACCTTTTTGCTTATCCCACTCAAAGACACACAGCCCATCTCTCTCAATCCTCCCTTTAATTATTTGCTAAGAGCAGTGCACCTCTTGTGATTTTGACACTTTTTCCTCTATTCTGACTGAGCTCTATTGATGCAGCTGTCATGTTCCAGCAGCGTGCATCATTCACAGGGCTGATTTACAATGTTCAAACTTTTTAAAGTTCTTAAACTTATAATTAGACTATGTGCTCAATTTTTACACAAACAGTTCAGCATCTAAGTTTCTGCTTAACTACACCTTTGACACACTACCTTCTTGGCAGGTTCCAATTACACTTTATTGACTGGAGTTGCCAACATTGGAGAAAGCACACGCCACGCTCCTACCTGAGACTTGTTATTGACCATGACACTGGAAAAGGAGCACGTGGCTTAGTTAGCTGTGCCTTCAGACTATTTTCATTCACAGTTAGATGCGAATTATTCACTTTTCCTTGGTCAATTTTTGCCTCTTTCAAGATGACTGTGTGACTCTTGATTTATTTTAACTGTCTGAATCTGAACAATAGCAGGATCCTATCAAATGTCCATAGAAAAGGATTTTTCATTAGTGCTTTGCAAAAGCCATTTCGGAGAAATTAAAGTACTTTGTAATTGGCCCTTTCCCTTTTTCAGGCTTCAGTAGGATATTTTCAACTCAACTGAGATAACTTAGGGTCAAACTCTACTAACTTTTTTTGAGATCTTTGTGCCCCCTTCAGGGCTGCTACTAATTATAGGCAAAAATCTTTTGCTAAAATTTTAACATTTTACATATTTCAAGACAGTGAGATTTTTTTTTCACCTTCTGAATATACACTGAAACATGGAACTGTCAACATAATTCAGGATTCCTGACATTTAATTTTAATCAAACATTTAATGCTGTAATTCCCTTTGCTTTTATATCCCTACTTTAAGTGTATCTCTTTAATATATTGATAATTCATGTGTCATAAGGAAATGTTCTGGCAAAGAAAAAGTGGATTAATTTCTAGAATAAATTAAGATAAATCTAGGTCAATATTGAGATAATCTAATAACTTATGCCAATACATTTATCTGTTATGTTCTTCCTCCCAGCTGCATGATCAGTAGGCATAGAAAAACTAATTAAATATTCTTTGGCTGATAGGTTTTGATCCATTTAACTGTGTTAACACAATTCCGGAAGATTAAGCTGACCAAGTTTCATGGGGGTATTGACTAACATGGCAGCACCCCCATGGTTCCTTCTGCTTGACTAAATTTTAGACAGGTTTCTTTCTAACTACAGGCTCTGACTTCTCTTTTCGTAGTGCATTTACCTTAGAAAAGTTGTAAATTCTTTCTCTGCCTCCTTGAGATGTAAATCTTCTGCAAGCCTCTTTTCACCTTTACAACTCAGGAATATTATTCTCAAGGAACTGGGAGCCAACTGTTTGAAAAATAATCAATAAGATAGGGACCCTATCTTCCAGTCTCTATGTGAGCGTAGGAGTGTAACTTTAACAAGCACCAATTAGCGAACACATGTGGCTTAATCACATTGACCAACCTCCGTCTTAATCTTCTCCAGCACTTTTCCAATAGTTTACTCCAATGCTAAAACATCTCCAGCCTTTTTTTCAGCGGAGTTGAGTTTATTTTTTTCCCCTGTACTGCAATAGTCTCTCTCTCCCATTGCAATAGTCTTGAACAAAATCTTCTGTGACTGTTTAACTCCATCTGGTGCAGATTCTTTTTGATGGTTCTTTTACTTTGACTCAATACATTATAGATTTCAATGAAATGAACTGTATTTTCATTCATGTATGTAACATGTAACTTGTGAATTCACCAATCTATTTTGGTTCTGTCTTGATTTTCTTGGGGTACTTTTCATTGTGCCATAAAATGCACAAGAATTATAAACACCTCTACGCAAATAAACTAGAAAACCTAGAAGAAATGGATAATTTCCTGG